TGTGCATTCTACACTTTCCTATGCCTTATGCAAATGTACAATATTTACGTATATTACTATATAATGATGGTTGATGGATAACATTAAAATAGAAGAATATGGAATAATTAAAGAAAGTAAACATAAAATAATGGTAACTTTTTTAAAAAACTAGAAATGGGCAGTAGAGCATTTTAGCAAATCATTATTAAAACAAACCACAGCCATGGCAGAAAGATTTAGCACCATCTAGAACTAAAAATTATAATACTCCATTTTTTAAAGATTCTGTTCCATTAAGAATTGTGCTCAATCACTGTTTATACCATAATTTCATATTGTAGGACATCAACATCTTATTTTCTTTCAATACTATTATAATTAGTATTTGTGTAAACTAATATAATGTTAGGAGCTCTGGTAGCATAGTGCCTAGGCACTTGACTGCTAACGAGAAGGCTGGTGGTTCAAACCCACTACCCACTCCTCAGAAGGAAGGTTGGGCAATCTACTTCTGTAGTTATACTGCCTCAGAAACCCGGGGGGGGGGGGTTCGCTATGAGTTGGGTCCGACTTGACAGCACATAACAACTACAATATAATGTTCTTTATTTATGAGAGGGATACTGTATGGTTTAAAATCAGGAATGATGTGTATCAGGATTGTATACTTTCATCATATTTACTCAGTCTATACCCTGAGCAAATAATCTCAGAAGCTGGACTATGTGATGAACATGGTATCAGGATTAAAGGAGGACTCATTAACAACCTGCAGTATGCAGATGGCACAACCTTGCTTGCTGAAAGTGAAGAGGACTTGAAGGACTTACTGATGAAGATCAAAGGTTCCAGCCTTCAGTTTTACACATCAGCATGAAACAACAATAATCCTCACAACTGGACCAATAAGCAACATCATGATAAATGGAGATAGCATTTAAGTTGTCAAAGATTTCATTTTACTTGGATCCATAGTCAATGTCCATGGAAGCAGCAGTCAAGAAATCAAACATCCTATTACTTTGGGCAAATCTGCTGCAGAAGACCTCTTTACAGTATTAAAGAGCAAGAATGTCACTCTGAAGACTAAGGCGTGCCTGACCCAAACCATGGTATTTTTAATTGCCTCATGTGCATGTGGAAGCTGGACAATGAATAAGGAAGGTCAAAGAAGAATTGATGTCTTTGAATTACGCTGTTGGTGAAGAATGTTCAACGTACAGCTAGAAGAAGGAACAAATCATCTTGGAACAAGTACAGCCAGAATGCTCTTTAGAAGCAAGGATGGCAGACTTTTGTCTCTTATACTTTGGTCATGTTATCAGGAGACATCAGTTCCAGGAGAAGGACATCATCTTTGGTAAAGTAGAGGGTCGGATGGATTGACACAATGACTGCAATGATGGTCACAAACACAGCAACAATTATGAGGATGGCACAGGACCGGACAGTGTTTCATTGTTCTGTATGTAGGGTCATTGTGAGTCAGAATCGACTCAACAGCACTAACAACAGCAAAACATTTACGAAATTTTAATTAGCTTAACACCGAAATAATTTTTTCCCAGTGAAACTATGAGGCATTCAAATAATGCAAATTAAAAAAAAACCATAGATTGACAGTAAATCGTGAAAACATGATCTCTTGACATTTGCAATTCACCCAGAAGATCTCCAGCTAACCATAATCTGACCTAATCAAAAATGGAATTTAGGTTTTTCTCAAAAATCTTGTGCACTCAAGTAAGCCCATTTGCATAGAAGCAGACAAGATCACTTTTGAATTCAGATTTGCATATATGGACAATATATGACTACAGTGGCTGAAATTTAAGTCCCAGAACACCTCATCCATTCATGTTCCTGTTTCAGTTGCCTTTTATTTCAGCATGACATTCTGCAAGTGTTTCTCTTCAAACTGAGTAATTCATTTCTATGGTTAATCTACTGATACTCTCCTTTCCTTTCTGCCTAGAAATCTCATTGTTACTTGGCATCAAATTGCATTGCAAATTGTTCTTCTAGCATTTCATCTGCTTACGTTGTCTCTCCCTGCTGACTGACCTGTTTTTTTTTTTCCTTGCTTTTAATTTTAATATTCAGCCAGTAATCTCCAGGGGAGATTAAATATATATGTATATAATTCTTCACTTTTAATCACTGTACTCAACTTCAAGAAAATACTCTTCAATTTTTTTTTTCTTTTGATTTAAGTAATACCTTAACATTCAGGAAACCACTCAAAGCAAAAGGTACATTTGTAACATACTTTGTCATTTATAAACCTTTTTCACGTACATTATTTCATTTGAATTTTCCATTAATCACTTCCAATAGCAAGGCATGTTGATACTCCACATTTTACTTGATTACTTAAAAAAGAAAAAAAAAATACAGATTGAGAGAGATTAAATTACTTTTCTAAAGTCACCTAGCTACTAAATAGCCTTTACCCTCTTGGCCCCACCTAATCCTAATCTTCAAGACCTGGTTTTTCATCTTT